GCTCTTTTGGTGGAGAAGAAATCAATATCTAGAGCACGAACAGCCCTACAATAATAAACCCAGCACTCCTGGGCAACCCGACAATAACAAACTGTCATGTCCAGTTCAACTCTCGTGAGCAACCCTACAATAACGACACACTGTGCTCAGCCCAGCACCCACCGACAAACAACAAACCAGCGTGTACGATGGTGAAAATTACAATTCAGTGCGGCAACATATCTCGGTCAGACATTTGGAAGGATTATTGAATAAATAGCTGCGAGTAAGAAGGAAATTAGTTTGAAGGAAGCTGGTTTGAAGGTGAGGAATCAAGAGGCTCCTCTGTTGGCCGAAGTGTCCCCGGGCCGGTTCTGCGGAGGAAGCATGACAGAGATTCTCCTGGTCCCACCTCAGCTCTGGCACGCCCCAGCCCTGCTCGCTTTTGGGAAGGCTGAGGGCACCACTTCCAAGGGGCCGGAGCGATTCCTGCCCCGGGACCAGCCCTGGCTGCGCTGCTGACATAGTCGCCTCCCAGCAGGTCCGGGGAGTGCGGCCAGGAGGCGGGGGGTGGGTCTCTGGCGGGCTGGGGGGGCGCTGGGCTGTGAGGGGGCAGGGAAGATGTGTGTGCTGGGGCACTAGGGAGTGCGGGTTCTGTGGCGGGTGCGGGGCACTTGTGGTGGGGCTGTGGGCGGGGGGGAGCGCTGGGCCGGGGTCTTGTGCAGGGCGCTGTGCATTTGTGGGGGAGGGTTGGTCAGCAGGGGCACTCGGCATAGCAGGTCCGGGGGGCCTCTGGCCATAGGGAGTCGGGGGGGGTGTTGGGCGGGAGGGGGGCTGTGTGGTGCGGCATGGGCCCGCCCCCCAGGGGAAGGGGCACACTGGCTGCACAGGGCTGGGCAGGCCACTGTGCGTCTGGCAACTGCCGGTTTGTAAATCGTGGCCTCGCACTGGGCTGGGCAGAGCAGGGCCGCCCCTGCCATGCCATGCCCCATTGCCCCTGGCTGGCCCCTCCCTCTGGGGACTGACCTCCCCGCACCATGCTCCATGGCCCCCATGGGGGCCTACAGATATGTTTGGCACCGTGCTCACAAAAGGTTAATCCAGCCCTGACTGGGGTGCCCCCTGCACCACGGGACTCGGACAGTTAGTCAGAGCTCCCAACACACAAGGCATCAGGGCTATCATCTATCTGTCTATCCATCCCCATCCTCCCCGTCTACCTATCTATCCCCATCCACTCCCCTATCTATCTATCCATCCCCATCCACCCCCTCTATCCATCGATCCCCACCCACCCCCTCTATCTATCCGTCCATCCCCATACACTCTCACACTCTCGCTCTCTCTGATGGCCCCTGGTAGCATCTGACCCCTCTTCATCTTGCAACAGCTCTGGCTCCATCCCCTCCCCTGTGAATTGGAGACTTTGCCGCCCCCAGGCCACACTTGTGGCCCACCGTCCCACAGACTCGGGGGCTGTCGTACGTGCGTGTGGATCATTTTTTTACCTTGCGCTGCCTTAGAAATATATTGTATTCGCAACTAATCCTGGTCAATTACAGCATAATAAAACACATAATAAAAACGTAATTCATTTTTCCCGAGTGTTCCCTCTCCCCACATCTTGGCAAGCTATTAAAAATTTGTCTTCATTTTTCTGGCAAGAGCCTTGTACCTTTTCATCTTTAATTTATGAGAGCAGAGCTGCAACTGACAAGTCTTATTGCGCAGCAGGCTCCTCCATTGTTTATCAGCCCCCGATTGATGGCATGGCAGGGAGATATGCAATATGCCAAGGTGGAGGTTGGAGGGGGCTGGAGGGGGGGAGGGGAGGTGAATGGTACCTGCCCCTCTCTCTGCTCCGGCCCTGATCCTGTTCTCACTGAAGTCAGGGGACGTTTTGCCATTGACATCAAGGAAAGGAGGAGTAAGCTAAGCCAAAGCCCATTGACATCAGTGGAAAGATGAGCTGTGCAGGCTTCAGAGCAGGCCTTCACAAGGAAGCATGGCTGGGCAGTTAAGGAGCTCAGCTCCGCCACTGACTCACTTTTAGCCTTGGGCAAGTCCCATCCCATCCTCTCAGTTTCTCCACCCGTGAAAAGGTGAGGGTGATATTTCACTCTCCTCGGAGCGGGAGGCTGAACTGCTGTGGATCTCCCAGGCTGTGCCTGGTGAAAGACACCGGTAGCAGGGCTACTTGAGTTGCTCCTTGTCAATAACGCTCGTTCCAAACGTAGCCACTTCCTGGGTAACCAGTCTCCCCGGCCCGGCCCTGATTTGCACCAGTGCAGCCCTCGTGCATCAACACCTGCCCCGTAGTTTGAATGGTGAATTCCAGCGCGTCGGTCGCTTGCCGTCAGTTCCTGGCTACGTGTTACCCCTGTCTGCCATGTCTGTCCCCCAGCGGGACGGCTGTCCGTTTGAACAAAGCAAAGTGGTGCGGTGAACTTGCTGCAGGAAGGTGCCTTGGAGAGTGGTGACTGTTTTCACCATGCCTCGAAATCAGTGAATCGCGGGACCCCTGGGAACTCAGCCTGTCGGCCGACCTTGCCCAACAAGACTGCTCACTGGGGGAGGGGGCCGCACCCGGCCTCCCCCCCCTCAGCACACCCCATCCCCTCCCTGTAGTTTCACTGGCCTGAACAGCCCCTCTTGCATTGAACCTCGGACATGGCCCAGCTAGCCGGCTGGCCTGGCTGTGTTAATCCCCATGGGGGGGAGGGGGTGGCGTATTAAGCCTTTGTTTATTTTGTCTGGTAGGGGGGTAATTACAGTCACAGCCACCCAGATGCTGCCGGTGTGACCTGTGAGGGACAAGCACCCACCTCCCATAACACCCTCCAGCTCCTCGTCTCCTGAGGAACGAGAGACTGCAGCCCTGGGGGCCGGTAGCAGGAGCAGAAGGGGATTAGAACCGGATCAGGGTCACGCTAGGATGGGAGGAAGGTTGGAATGAGATCAGGACTGGAGTGACGTCAGGATCGGGATCATGTTGGGATCAGCAATGGGATCAGAGCAGGACTGGCTCCAGCTTGGATTGGGATGAGGAGTGGGGTGAGGGCTGGAATGAGGTCAGGTTTGGGAAGCGGAGCAGGAATAGAATCAGGAGCTGAAGGGGTCTGAGTGAGATCTAGGGAGGGGGAGAATATGCATGGGCCTGGGCTGGAAGGGCTGGACCTGGACCCTCCTGGGGTTGGGGATTTCTTGGGTCGGGGCTTTCTTGGGGCAGGGCATCCTAGGCTGGGGGGTACTTCAGAGGGCTGCGGCCACTGAGCAGCCAGGAACCCCTGCGTTCTGACACTGCCTGGGCCGATGTGGCCTGCTTCTCAGAGGGTCTGGGCACCTGCAGCAGCCCCCTGTGACTCACATGGGCAGGGGAAGCTGTGAGTGCTTAGGCGGTCTAAAAGCAGGCCTTCTCTGACTCAGTTTCCCTTTCTGCAGGAGGGATCACCCCGGCCTGATGCCTGTGAGGATCAAGAAGTGACAGCTCCTCCCAACCCACAGCCTGCAGGGGAGAGTCCAGTTGGGGGCAGGGCCTCAGTGCCAAGGGCTGTGGAGATCATAATACAGAGCCAACAGCCGGCGCTCTAGGCTTTAATGCAGTGGGGATTCCCAAGGAGACTACAGTTCCCAGCATGCAATGCTTCAGCGCCCCCCCCCCCAGACAAAGGATTGTGAACTTGCAGCCAGCTAGGTTGGAGGAACCCTCTGTTCCTCAGTGGGATCCAGGATTTGGTGTCAGCTCATTGAGGAGGGGTGGTGGATTGAACGGCAGGTCTGGGTGCCTGTTCATATTTGAGGGACCCTCCCCCCAGGGTCTGTGGCTATTAGCACTGGCGGGTTGGCTGCAGCCTTTGCCGCCTGAGTCATTTTCCCCCTCGAGAGACTGCTACTGCCTGACCCAAAGCCCCTGGAGAGCAGGAGTTTCCCCACTGATTCCCCTGAGTGCAGGATCAGGCAGTTGGTGCCGCGTGGAGAGAGAACCACCACCCTGGCTCCGAGTGCCGCCCGCCCGTTGGGTCAGCCCAGAACCTCCAGCAGGCTCTGCTGAGCGTCCTCCCGCCTCTGGCAGGAATCGGGCCGGGAGGGGCGGCCCCTGATAATCTCTGCTGCCCCAGACCGTAAGCGGAAAGTCAGGCCATCAGCCCATGGCTTCCACCAGGGCTGTCTCCAGCTGCTGTCCCTTTTGACACAAGCCACCTCCTCCCATGCTGCAGGGCAGCACCTGGTCTGGCCCCAACTATATTCCATGGGCATCAGTCATTTGTGCTCTGCCAGGTTCTCTAAAGCTCTTCCCAGATCTCCTGGCCACAAAGGACCATTAGATCGTCCAGTCTGAGTCCCATAGCACACCGGCCAGAGAACGTTGCCCACTTACTCCCATCTGGAGCCCAGTGTCTTGTGTGATCTTAAAAAGTAGCATTCTGAAGCACGCTGTGTAGCTATGTGTATCCATGGAAATGCAACGGGCACGCTCTTTAATCAAGCAGAGAACCCATTGGGGTTCTAGAGTCAAAACTCTAGAACTCTGCTCTAGAAAATTTCCAACTACATTGTGAGCCCTGGCAATTCAAGATGCAAAATACCATGTAGGCCTCCCAGCCCTGTTCTCTGAGGCTAATGCGGGGTTGTGTCCTTTGGTTTATTTGCTCAGATTTGGTCCAGTCTAGTTTGAAATATCTCCAGTTTAGCATCACTCCCCTGGAGGCCATTCCACAATCTAGTACAGCTGAAAGAAAGCGATTCCTGATAATCAACCTTTGTTTTTTCCCTTCTGTTATGATTTATGGAGGCACAGGCCTTAAACATGAGGTGTTTATTACAGAGAACTGGCAGCCACAAGAGGCATAAGCATAGTGTTGCCAGCTGCTGTGATGTTCAGTGTGTTTCTTAAAACCCTAGCTCCTGGAGTCCTGTGATGCGATGAGAATCTCACCTTTCACTTATTTAAAAAGTACGTTTCCAGCCCTCGTAGTCACAGAGAAAAGCTTGAAAAGGTGACCCATGTGCAATCGAACAGTTCAGAAACCGAAGGGCACATAAAGAAGCCAATACTGATTTATTTTTAATCTCCTGATTTTTAAGACATTCTCGTGATTTTTTGACCCAACTCGTAGAGTTGCCAATACAGCAAACAAGCTTCCACACGGCTCAAGTTCTACCTTTGTGTCTTTCGTTTACCAGCGTCTGGCACGCCACCCAACCCAGGGAGCCATCTACTGCAACTCACATACTGCAACTCAACATGTCCTGCCACCTTCCTTAATTTCATCCCAGGGCCCCTTCATACCACCTTCCTTGGCTCTTACAACCATTCAAACATTCTACTGTAGCTGGTTATCATGTCCCCATCCCCCTTCCTGCTCGCTTAGCCCAGCTAGGCGCATTCAGGTCTTTGCTCATAAATCAATCCCTCCGGCTCCTTAATCATTGTTATTTCTCTTTGAATTCCTCCCATCTTTCTGGTACCGAAGTGCTCAGGAAAGGCTCTGACCAATTATGCTCACACCAGCAGATGGTAACAATAATCATCAGATTGCCTATTATACTGGCAGGGAACGGCCCGTTATTCCCTCTTCCCTCTGGATCTGGAGGGAGACTCTAGTTCGGGCCAAGAGCCTGGAGATTCAAGTCCCAGTATTCAGGCGTGTTTGGAGCTGGGTTTCTGGTTCAAGTCCATCAGAAAAGCCAGGCTCACGCCTGCTCGATCCACATCTGTTCTTTTCCAAAGCCCAGGGTGGCTCAGATCTCGGGGCCCTGCTGTGACCCCGTCAATCTAATGAGCGAAGGGGTGGACATGCAACTGTTCCTGTGTTTCCGATACTGCCCTGAAAGCCCGGGGTGGAGCCCAGCCTAGCAAGGGCATCTCCAAGAATGTGCCTTTCTGAGAGGGCAGGGGGACCTAAAAGGAAAACAGACAAATGAGGCATTCATATTACTAGTGCCCAGAGGACACAATATCCATTTAAATGCACCGAATGCAATCAGGAGAAGGTCATTAATAGCTATTGCTTTTGCAGCTTGCTAGGATAATAGTTTAAGTGGTTAATGAAATTTTCATCCATGGGCAGAAGATGCTTGCAAAACACGAGGAGAGGAAGGGGGTAGGGGAAGTCCAGAACCCGATGACTAAAGCCGTCCGCAGCCTCTCCCCATGGCTCCGGCTGCTTTTCCTACAGGCGGGAGGTGACTTCATGCGTCAATCTCGCTGGCTGGCTGCTCATTACTTTTTCATTAGGTCCCCGTTATGACACGCATTAGCCCCCAGATGAACGAGGAGGTGGCGGTAGGTTGGGGGGCGATTTATTGAACCTATCCGTCATTCACGTGGCATCGTCACCTGCTCACAGCCCCCACTCCCCGGCCTGGGTCACCAGTCGCCTACTGAGAGAGGGAGTTTTGCTGGGATGGTCGCTCCAGGCTCCAAGGTGCTGGAGCTAAGTGGGGAATTATCATCCCCTGAGTTTTAGGTGTCGACCAGGCCTTCATGAGGCCAGATGAAGCCAGACCAGGGGACGGAAGAGGCTTCCTGGGCTGCAGCTGATGTCGGGAGCAGCTCCGGTTCTGCGGTGCAAACTATAGCTGTGAGTCTGGCTTTCAAGGCACGTGGGAGTGTTTGGATTCAGGGGGTTGGTTCAGTCCCCTACAGAAAAAACCGTAGCCTGTCTGCTAGGTGGTGTTGGGAGCACCGAAGGCCAGATTCAATATCCAGGGGTTCCTCTTGGCCTGGCAAAAACAGAACTGGCTCCCGCCACCCAGAAATCTGGGAAATCAAAACTGTGCCCCTGAGAAGTAATCCTCCTCCTCCTCCTCCTCCCCCCCACCATCTGTGCATGACAAAAGAAAACTAGGGTGAAGGAACCCAGCATTAATTTGGGGAAACACCGCCACCATGATTCAAAAGCACGTCAATCACGTGTACACACCCACCTCCACCGGAAGCTGGGCAGCGTCCTTTGCCTCAGTTTCCCAGCTGGGAGTGGAAAAGTCCAGAGGCCAAATGTCCTTCACTCCCCTTTTCCTCCACTGCTCCCCACTCACAGCTGCTTGTCCGCTCCAGGGAGAGGGGTTCAAAAGTAGGAATTATTCTGATTGATTGACTGACTTGTATTCTCGGAATACCGGGGAACCCCAGGCCTAGACCAGCACCCCGTTGTGCTAGGCGCTGTACGAACACTGGACAAAAACAGTCCCTGTCCCATAGAGCTTCCATCTGCGTACAAAAGACAAGTGGAGACGGACAAACAGGGAAACAATCAGACAATATCAGTTAGATAGATCAGTGCCTGGCTATCTAATCTAATCTAGCTATTGTATTCATGTTAGTAATCCGGGGGCCCAATTCTCCACTGCCTTTCACCTTGAGGAGCCATTTACTTCCACGCTAGCGATGGCAGAGAGGGATCTATATCACGCGCATGACTGCCGAACCTAACCCTGCCCCCACAAAATCTGCACCTTCCTGCGGACACTCAGGTGCCAGGACGTCCGCCAGGGGAGATACATCCCTGGGGACATCCCGCATCTGGATCCCACGTCCGTGCTGACGGAGGCGACTGGCCCCGCTCATGCCGAGTCCGGCTCGGCGACTTCTCCACCGTCTCGTTGCCTTCGCCGCTCTTGGTGGATTCTGCTGGCTCATTTCCACTCGGGGACAGCCCCCTTCATGCCCTGAGCACCGACTGTTGTGTGGGATGTGGGTTTGAAAACCGCAGCTCAGAGCCAGGGCTAGGAGGGGGCTGAGCATGCCCCCTCCTCTAGTGGACACCAGCCTGCACCCCAAGAGGCCATCCTGTGACCCCCGATGTCCTAGCCAAGCTTTAAAGCATTGGCAGAGTGAGCCCAAGGTGAGCGAGAACCACGCTGCAGCGTCCCTGTGCTCTGCAGAGAGGAGTGTCCACCTGGCCAGCTTGGCTATTCCCCACCCCTTTTAACCACGTCCAGACGGGAGGGGCATACAGAGGCAGGGGTGCTATGTACCAGAGGGACGAAACCCTATTGATAACCCTGGTTTGTGCTCCGTTGGGGCCGGAGCAGGATCCTGGCTATCACTATCCTGCCCAGTAGCCCCATGGCAAAGGGCTCATGGGTAGATGTTCTATGGCACTAGTGGTGAATACCCGCAACGTCCCTACTCAGAGCAAACAAAGCTGGGCCTGTACTTTCCACATGCTGCCTTTGCTACGTCTCTTCAAAACCCAATGGATGCCAAGTGGCAGGCCACTCCGCCTGCTCGTGGGGGATCGCACCCCTAAATTAGGGTCCAATCGGATGTCCCCCTCCCACGTTCCCAGGGCACACCCTGGTGGGGAAATGCAGAGACCCACCTTCATTCCCTGCGCCTCTGGGCCATGACGGTGTCACGAGGCAAGGCTGAAGTCATCGTGTGGTGCCATCGTGCCCATGGGTGACTCTCCTGCCATCATCCCTGGACAGAGCTGGGCAGGGATGGGCCAATGCTTCTTCTGGGGCTGGAAGAAACAAGGCCCCAACCTAAATCCTCAGCCACCCTCAACCTCAGCTGGAGCCACCCTTGTCCGTTCCAGCTGTTGGACCCACCTTTTACCCACTCAAGAGACTGAGCTAGTTCGGAGAACAACCTGCATTGAAAGGGGCTTGTCTGAGCCAAAGCCAGACTCTGGCCCTGTAGAAGTTCTCCCAGCACCACGGCTCATCTCAGGAGCCTTAAGCGGGAGCCAGAGGACGGTCCGAGTCCCGACACTCTTCACCACAAGAGTTTGGAGCCACCGCTCTGGTCCTGCCCTGGCTGGAAGCCGAACTTTTAGGAGCCGTTCGGTAAAGGAAGACAGCGTCAGTGAGAAGAAGAAATCTCACAACAGGGAAACGGGTCAGAAATCACTTGCAACGGTTGCACCAAAGGGATGCGAGTGAACACGAGGGAGCCTCCATGTGGTGCAGGAAGCTCATGGTCCACCTGTCTCGGATTACTTCCTCGCAGGACTTGCGGCTAAAGGCTGCAGCTGTTTCACATCCATCAAAGAGAAAGACCCAGAGCTGGATTTCATTCCCAGCAGGAGCCCGGGACCCAAACCCAACCAGAGAGAGTGGGGAAGAGGGTTCCTGCCTTTTCCCTGTCATGTAATGACTTTCCAAAAAGCAAACTAGATCTGGGGGTTCCTGGGGATCCATGTTCCCCTGGCCCCTCAGCTCTGGCTTGTAATGGCTGGAAAGAAAAGGGGGGGGGTCTAAAAGCAGGAGGGAGTCCCGGCCTGTGCCCAACTGTGAGAGACCTTTGGTGAAACAAACGCACTGTGTCACTGTCAGGCTAATGTGCTGAAATTCCAGCTGCTGGGCCCAGGAGTCGGATGGGCTTAGCAGGGCCTGCCTGGGTCGGGATCTGTCAGAGCTGTTCGTGTGGGATCCGAGGTGGCCGGATGCAGAATAGCGCAGGGTTAGAACTCACGACCGAGGGGGATCAGGAGCTCTTTTCAGTCCCAGGGGAGGCTGGGATTCGTTTGATGGGGTGGGGCTTTCCCCTGCTGCCCCTGCACCTCCTTTACTCTCTTCCTGCTTCCTTTAGCTTGGTGAGCTGGGGTTCACAGGTGAGCTGGGGTTCGGGGCGAAGGTTCAGGCTGGCAGTGATTAGCGCCCAGCCAGACCAGGTGCTCAGATATCCCCCAGGCGCTCGGCCTTGTGGGTGCTGCGTGGGTCCCACAGCAACAGGCTGGCGTAGACCCCACAGTGATGGCTGGGCCATGGACCCTGTGGTGCTGGGTGGGCACATGGACCCACCACACTGGGCACTGCACAGACCCTGCGGTGACAGGTACGGCACCCACCCTGCCGCAATGGGTGAGTGGGGCCCAGACGCTGTGGTGATGGGCAGGCGGGGAGCAGACCGCCACCGAGATGGGCGCAGACCCTGCAGCAACAGGTGGGTGGGCCCCAGGAAGCCGGACTGTCCCCTCCCTTGCACCGACTTCAGCGACACGCTAGGCCGCCGGGGCCCCACATGGCTGCTTGGTGCCAGGCTGGCCCTGCCATGCAACCCGAAACCCACCAGAACCAGCCCCGCGAGGATTTCCTCGGCACTCCCATCCCCCCCAGCTGGCCTGCATGGGGGAGCCCACCCCAGCAGCAGCTGGTGCAGGTCAGCCAGGACATGGGAAGCCCTGCCTTGATTTCTCTGGGTGCAGAGCGCCCTCTGCTGGGGAGCCCAGCTCCCTGCAGAAGGGAGCGGGGATGGGGGGGCAAGGGGCAGAGATAAGTGGTGAGTTCAAGTCACAGTGACACACCCAGGGGTGAGCACTGGATTATCCCAGGGAAAGCATCGGCCAGGTGGGAGCTCATCAGATAGGGGTGATCAGCCCCACACCGAGCCTCAGGCGGACCCAGGTTTGGATGCAGCATGTTGCCACTCGGCTCCTTCTCTCCGTTGTATTTTGCTTGCAGTTCCCGGCCCCTCCCCACCCCGAATTTTCCTTCAAGTTTCCAGATCAAACAACTCCCCTCTCCCCGCAGTAAACACACCAGAGGGTGATCAGGCTGCAGGTGCCACGTGCCCAGGGATTCCAATACAACATGGGGTCCCGAGGCAAGTGCAGCGCAAAGGTGCCGCCCGCAGCAACCTTGCTGCCCTGGGACAGCATGTGAGCCTGTGGAACTCCCTGCTGCAGGACCGGGCAGGAGAAAAGCAGCATAGTGAGTTTCAAGCAAAGGGTGAGACCCTTGAGCACGCAGGAGAAGGGAGCAGCAGCTTGACCAATAAACATTGCACGGGCCACCCGTCCTCTGATTTTGGGACGTCCGCTGAGGCTGGGATCAGAAGGCAGGTGTTCAGGTCTCTGAACCTAATCTGCCAGACACCCCAGCCTCTGGGGCTGACCCTGTACTGCACAGTGTCTTGTATTCCTGGGGTACGGTCTCCCACCCAGGTCACTGCTGCAACCAGGACACTGGGTTTCCATGGACCATTGGGCTGTTTCAAGCTGGATCCACAGCCCAGACAGCCCATGCTGTGAGGCCATTTGGATCTTTGGTTCTGCCCATCATAAAAAGCAGGGCCACGTGGGCTCACGTGCCCGGGCGTTGCCGCAGACCCGGCTCCATGGCGGCAATGCTGGAAAATTTGTATAGATGCCCAGCGCCCCCCTCAGTGCTCTGCTGGACTCTCGCCAGCCAGTAACACAGCCCCCAAATGGCTGGGGAAGGGGGCTGGTACTCAGCTGCCCAGTGCCGGGCTTAGCCCTGCCACCCCGGAGCAGGGTCCTGTGACTAGGAACCGGGCCGGCGGGGTGCCATAAGGGCCGCACGGACCCAGTCGGGGGAGATTCCAGGGAGGGCAGGCCTGGGGGCAGCTCTCGGCCGGCAGTCTAGGAAGAGGCTGTGGGAAGGAGACAGGGCAGTTAGCCCAGCTTTTAAGGTACCAGGGCTCAGAGGGTAAGGGGGGCTTCCCCCCATGCTGCCAACCTGTGAGGTGCCAACATGGGGGAGGGGATGAAGGGAGGGAGTGAAGCCGGTGAGGGGCCAGGGGGCCGGCCCAGAGAGAAGGGGCTGGGCCTGCCAAGTCTGGGGGGGAGGGGAGATCTGGGTTGGGCTGACTTCTTGATTTGGATTTGATTTAAACGCTGCCTTCCAGTGTTACCCGGAGGGGTAAGTCCTCCAAGTGACTAACCATGCTGGAAGCTAGAGACGTACTGAAAGGGAAACTGAGGCAGCAGATGGGCCTGATGCCAGGCTAGGTCTGTCCCTGCTCCAGTGAAAGCAGGAGCCAAGACTCCAGAATCAGGGCCTGGAGGATGTAGAGACCAGAGCTGGAGCAGGGCTATAATCCCCTGACCAGAGCCCGGATCCAACATGCCATGGGGAGCAGCCGCAGCATGCCGGCATAACTGAAGGTCACCGCTCCTCTGCGGTGAGACGGGCTCAGAGGCAGCTTAGCTGTGTGAAAAGGGATTAACCTCTGAAGAACGCAGGTGTGCTGGGACTGGAGCTAGCCTCACAGTCGGGAAGGAGAGAAACAGCAGCAGCTGGTGCTTCTACGCTGCTTTCCGTCCCAAGACACTTCCCACTTCCCTATGTCACTCTGCAGGCACTTCTGGGGTGGAACACGGCCACTGCTCTGCCATGGGGACCACGTTCTGGATACGAACATCTGTGATCACTGGGATGTAGATCTGTATCCGAGTTCCACAGCTCAGTTCCTCTGTAACAAATCCCCGTGCAATGGAGAGGCTAGCTCACTAACACACGAGCATAAAGGGACCTGGGACATCAACCCTCCAGAAGCCCAGCACTCTCCCCCTTGAGCTAAAGGAGCGCTCCCTTAGCTGGCAGCTATAGTAGGTCCCTTATCCTGTGTTTTGGCCAGCCACTAGAGGGAGACTTCACACCCTTACCTTGCACCATGCCCCTTTAGGACAGGCAGTGGAGAAGAACGCCAGATTGGAGCCAGAACACACCGGAAGGACACCGTGTTACTGCCCCCAAAAAGCAGCAAAGCCACATGCAAGAGACAGAAAATATCACCTTTATTTTGGAACAATTGCCCTGTTTAAAGCAACAGTGGAGGTCAGCCATGGGTTCAGTGGCCCACCGAGAGGGGTCTGAGTTCAAGGTACAGGTATTCCCCCAGACACCAGCCGAGCGAGCAGCACACACGCTGCCAGGCCTCCCACCCATGAACCTGCGGCAGGAAGGGGTTGGACATACCCCTGTGCTGTGACTCGCCCCCTGCCCCTGGGGAAGGGGGGACGCCAACAGACACTGAGAGCCCGGGCCATATTGCACGAGGATTGTTAAAGCTTTCTGCTCTCAAGCAGGTGCATTTGATTGGCAGGAAGCCAGGCCCCCATGGGAGAGCGCCAGAGCATCCCGGAGTTGGGGCAAAGCCACCATCCGGCAGCGTTTCCCCCCTCCCCCCCCCCCAGAGGCAAGAGCCAAAGCTCTTTATGTAACACTCACCCGCTGCCCCCCCCAGTTCCCCCTGCTCACGGTGCTCTCCCAGGCCCCAACGCGCCACGCGCTGCAGATCGTTACAAAAGCAACAGCGTTCATTTCAGTGACGCCGCCCGTCAAAGCCGGCGTCCCCTTATCTAACCCCCTTGGAGACGTGCCCGCGCCCTTTCTGAACAGACCTGGGTGACGGGGATAAAGACTCAGGCGAGGGAGGTTACAAACAGCACATAACTGGAGGGAATTTGCCAAACTCGCTCCCTGTGGAACTTCATCCATCCTGTAGCACCTATTCCCACAAGCTGCCAGCACAGGGCCCCTGTGTGTCACCAGAAAGCAACGACGCACTTCTTGTAGGACCTACATATAAATGCTGCCTTGCATAACACTCCTGCTGGGTGCATCCAGGGTGTGGGTTTTTTGTTGTTTTTTTTTTTTTTTTGATTGCTTGGTTTTTAACGTCCCGCCCTTCCAAAGGTTTGATTTCTGTGCAGGCCCCTGCTGGAAAGGAATCCAATGCAGAGGAGAAACGACACCCAGCTACTGTTACAAATGAGAATATTGGGATTTGCCTTGTTTCCTTGTCCCTGTCAAAACTTGGAGTTTCCTCTATTTTTCTTTTATTTACACCCAGTTTCCATTGTTGTCCCCCCAGTGTTCAAGCTGAGTGACTCTGAGGTGGGACTGAAGTGATCAGGGGCCACGGAAGCTCCTTGGCTGGAGGTTTTCCAAAGGAGACTGCAGAGCATCTGCCTTGGATGCCTACTGCTGCAGCTCGGCAGGGGGTTAGACCAGTTGACCTTTGCGGTCCCTTCTGACCCTCTGGTTCTATGGAGTCATAAGTCTACTTTGCATTTCTACAGCACCGGTTATCTAAAGCCCTCTGTGCACTTGACAAAGACGGGCAAGCAGCATCGCCCCCATTCCCCTCATCCGGGAAAACCGAGGCGTGGCCAGGTGACATGGCTTTCCCACAGGCACACAGCGAATCGATGGCCGAACCAAGAAGGGGACCCAGGAGTCCTGACTCCCAGGCCCTGCTCAGACCACTTGACCAAGCTGCCTCCAACCTCCCTCAAAACCAACACTTAAAGGCTTTTAAAACCATTGAAAAGGGAAAGTGGACTGAGGATTAAAGTCAGCCCGTCCCTATCTCAGTCCTATAGAATCTGATATCCCACCTAGCCCCAGGCAATGCCCACTGTTGTACCAAACACTTCAGAGGGAAGTGTAAAACACCCACCATACACTGTTATGAGTCGGGTGGGTGGGGGAATTTCTGCCTGACTCCAGCTGCTGATCACTCTGTGCCCTGAAGCATGAGGATCGATGGTCCTTATCACTGCCCTCCCGGCCAGTGCAGTCTGGGCAAATTACAGAAACTCTGAGCCAAATTCTGTCAGGGCCAATCTAGGAGAGGACTTGATCAGTTGGCAAGAGCAAACAGGACAAATGCCCACTTTTGTCAAAAAAACGAGGTGCAGAGGGACATGTGCGCGGGGGGAAAGGGGGGCACGGCGATGCCAGCTCCCCGCACAAGGGGCAGGCAGGGCTCAGGCAAGCCGCAACCGCAGCCTTGTGCAGGACGCAGGCAGGGATCGGCCAAGCGACTCGGGCCAGCCCCGCTCAGAGAGGAGGGCTCGGGCGAGCCCTGTGGGGGTGGGGTGGGGAGGGCTCAGGCCAGCCCTGCGCAGTGCCTCGTTTTCCTTTTGGGAACTAGAGTCACCCTGGGCATCTGGGAGGAGCAACAAGCCATCTTCTGCAGGGAAGGGGCTAGACATGAACACAGCAGATCTCCTCTCTCTGCGTCTCTTGTAGGATGGGGCTAATTCTCCCTCCAGGACACAGTCAAAGGCTTGTCCTGCCTGCTCTTACTAGCAACACCACCCCCAGCTAATTCTACTTTTAAAATATCCAATTCCCTTTCCCCTCCAGAGCTGGGTTGTTTGCTCCGTGCACCTCACTCAGCTTGGCCAGGCGGGTCAGTTTCCTGTCCCGTTTCTGGCAGTAACAGGGGAAGGTTGATACCCAGCCAGGACTAAACTTCTTTTCATTGAAATTCTTAAAGGTCACAGAAGCATTTCTGTCTGGTTTAGATGTTGTAAAACATGCAATTTTTATCTGTACGGATATACACACCCACCCACAGCACAAAGCACCATGACCTTAAAGCAGTGTGACGGGATCCCTTTAAACATCACATGTTAAAAGGGAGGCTGATATAGCAAACAACAAGGTGATCTTACAGCAAGGAGACAAGAGCCCCGTAAAAGTAAACATGTTCAAAGGGCGTCTAGCGGCCCCAGGATGCGACTTGAGCCTGGAACAAAGACGACATTAAAAAAACAAAAAAAACACAAACCCTGGGCTGGTTTTCGGAGATTAGAATGTGTAATTTGCTCTGGAGATGAAAGGAGCGGAAAACCGGATTAAGTTGCTGACCTGGAGTAGCCTTGGGCCCCGCGTGCTTAGCTGTGACATTCCCCAGCCCTTTCCATTAGAGGACAGGCAGCTCAAGCATTTCCAAGCCGTCAGATCTACTTTAGCTTACTTGATTATGCTATTTTTAAAAAGATGCATGCAGACCCCTGATCCTGCACCCACTGAAGCCAACAGTACAACTCTGGCAGATTTCAGCAGGGCGGGATCAGGCCCTGAATGAGTCAGATTTTAAGCTAGATTGTGCAGGCTGCCACAGAGCTGTGATTATTGGAAGAGTCTCCATACCCCTGGATGGTTTCGTTCATTCAGATAACGAAAGAGGGGTGGGCTTCCTCCTCTTTTTGTGCTTTATTTATCAGTGATCTCTTGCCCCCGGCAATTGTCTTTCGCATCCTAAAACCACTGCGATGCATTTTCCCCTGCACCATACGTGTATTGAGTCAATATTCCCAATAAAACGGGGCGGGGAGGGCCTGACTTTCCCTCACACCTCCCATAGTGCGTTTAAAAGGGGAAATGCAATGGACAGAGGGTTAAATCTGTGCAGCCAGGCAGGGGAATTTCCTCATGGACAATTTAACTCTCCCCCATGGAAATTCCGTTAGGTTGCATGTGCAAGGTATCAGAACTGGCCCCTGCAGAGACAATGGTTAGGAATGAGCCGGCAAACACACAGGCGTGGAGCGTGCAAATACACACACACAGACACGAGTGAAAGCTGGGTCTGAACGCCAGGTTCCAAGAGCAGCGATGGGCCCAAGTGCAAAGCTGAGTTACAGCTCTGGGTCCGGGCTTTCCCCACATTCAGGAATTGCAGCTAATTCTCCTCTGGTAGGCAGAGAAACCCCAAATCGGGATACCCAAAACCCCCTGGGGTCCATCTCTGCAGCAAGCTCTCTTGTATAGCAGTTTCTTTCCCCCTCTAGATCTTTTTCGGAGAGACTCTGCTGTATAAGTACACAGCTTTCCCCAGCAGTCAGTCCACCTCATCAAGTGTCTATAAACACTGCACCAGGGTTGCTTAGCTGCACTCTATGAGTCTGGAAAGGAGAGACGGGCTGTGTGACTACCTACCGCCCGACAGAGAAGCTAAGTCGTTTCAGTCTGTGATGAACGAAGCAGGCCAATACTAAAAGGACCAAGAGCATGTAGGATGCCCTGACCCAAGAGAGATCCTCCAATATGGTGAAAGGGAACAGCCAAGTCACACTGTATACAGCTGCCCCATCCCTCATTCTGGTGAGCCAACGCACTGAGAAGACACCTGCTCACCCACCTTGGATTGGCCTACTCCTCAACATGCCAAGCCGCTCTGGGCCTGCCGTACTGGAAGATGACCAGATGTCTTCCTCCTTGGCTACTTCCCTCCCTTAGGGAAGTCAGATGAGCTCCTGTCTTTGCTGCTAAGGCAGGAAACCATCCGCAGACACAGCAAGAACATTTAGAATGATCTTTCAACGTGTTGTAAAATTCATGCCTAGGCACTGCACCAGAGCCATGCCCCACTGTGACTCTGGTCCATTCTACTGGGCTTTCTGACAGCACTGGCCTCAGGTCAGTTTTGAAATCCCACCAGAGAACAACAAAGCTGGAGGAAAAATCGCTTTTCGGCCCTTGACATCTGCTCGCCCTACGAGCATCACCCACTCCAGCCTCTTCTCCCCATTGAAGCGTCTCAAGAACATTACTCTCAAGAGCAGCGAAGATGGACATGCGAGCCACTGTGGGACCACGCACAGCAGGAGAGTGGAGTGGAGTGGAGGAAAGGTTACTGAGGGGCTCTGGCCACTCTCAACCTGCCACCAGAGAGAATCAGCTCTGCCTGTTTCGGTTTTGTTCAGGAAAGACAATCTATATCACAGCTGCATATATCACTACCTATTGCTAAGGGTCATCCGAGTCCAAGGAACCTACACTGTACACACAGGACAGCCAGAAATAAAGCAGCAGCTCACAGGGGTTATTCTAGCACAACATTTAACATTCTCCCTGGACACCTGGGTTCCGATCCGTTCCCTGATCTCTTCTCCCGGCACCTGGGGGGCGGGAGGGAGGGAGCCTCGCTTAAAGCCCTTTGTTGAAATACACAATCTCCATGTTGGGGTTCTTCTCCCAGATCAGAGCTTGGACTTCAGGCTCCAGGCGACTCACTCGCATCGAGCTGCAGAAGGGAGACAAACCCACTCAGAGAGGAAGCAGGGAGGGCATGGGACTTGTGACTACTGGTTGGAGAGGTGTCTAAGGAAGCCTCCCTTTCCGTACAGGTGGGAGAATGCTCCAAAGTCAATCCATCATCCATCATCACCCACTTTAGTCTCTTTTTTCTGCTCACAGACAGTCTGCAAACAGATTCGGATTTGAACAGCTCTCCCGGTTACGCAGAATCTCCCGGTAAATGCACTATTACGCGGCAAGTCTCAGCCTACGGGCTGGCTTGCAAGCTAGTTGCAGCCCGCGAGTGGCTGCCTACGTCACATGGGAGCGTTTTTGCTCTGCCAGCGGATGGCTGAGACTTTTAGAAAGTGGAGGGGGGCGACACAGAGCAAAGAGAATCCAAGAC